GCCGAGTCAGTCACCTGATCTCAACCCAATTGAGCATGCATTTCACTTTTGCTGGTGGCAAAACTAAAGGCAGAAAGACCCACAAAGAAAGAACAACTGAAGGCAGCTGCAGTTTAAGCCTGGCAAAGCATCAGAAATGAGGAAACCCAGTCTTTGGTAATGTTTATGGGTTCCAGACTTCATGCAGTCATTGCCAGTAAAGGATTCTAAACAAAATATTAAAAATGAACATTTTTTATTTATGGTTACATTCATTTGTCCAATTACATGAGCCCCTGAAAATGGAGGGACTGTATATAAAAATGGTTGCAGTTCCTAAAATCTGTACTTGATATTTCTGTTCAATGCCTTGAGTTAAAGCAGTAAGTCTGCACTACAAATTAATTTGGATTGTTTTGTTTTCATTTTACTCTGGTGGCAGACAAAGCCAAAAGTATGAAAATTGTGCCTGTGTCCAAATATATATGGACCTAACTGTGCACAGACACACGTACATAATACAGACACACATACATTATATATATATATATATATATACACATACACACACACATACACACACACACACACATATATATACATACACACTCACACACTAAATTGGCAAAAGTATTGGGACGCCTGCCTTTACACGCACATGAACTTCAATGGCATCCCAGTCTTAGTCCGTAGGGTTCAATATTGACTTGGTCCTCCCTTTACAGCTATAACTCTTTTGGGAAGGCTGTCCACAAGATGTAGGGGTGTGTCTATGGGAATGTTTGACCATTCTTCCAGAAGCTCATTTGTGAGGTCAGGCATTGGTGTCGGATGAGAAGGCCTGGCTCACAGTCCCCACTCTAATTCATCCCAGAGGGGTTGAGGTCAGGGCTCTGTCCAAGCCAGACAAGTTCCTCCACCCCATACTTGCTCATCCATGTCTTTACGGACCTTGCTTTGTGCACTGGTGGGCAGTCATGTTGGAACAGGAAGGGGACATTCCCAAACTGTTCCCACAAAGTTGGGAGAATGAAATTGTCCAAAATGTCTCGGTATGCTGATGCCTTAAGAGTTCCCTTCAATGGAACTAAAGGGCCAAGCCCCTGAAAAACAGCGCCACACCATAATCCCCCCTCCACCAAACTTTACACTTGGCACGATGCCAGGCAAGTACCGTTCTCTTGGAAACCGCCAAACCCAGACACGTCCCTCGGATTGCCAGACAGAGAAGCATGGTTCGTCACTCCAGAGGACACGTGTTCACTGCTCTAGAGTCCAATGGCGGTGTGCTTTCACCACTGCACCTGATGGTTTGCTTTGCACTTGGTGATGTAAGGCTTGGATGCAGCTGCTCAGCCATGGAAACCCATTCCATGATGCTCTCCATGCATTGTTGTGCTAATCTGAAGGCCACATGAAGTTTGGAGGTCTTCTGCTATTTATGCAGACAGTTGATGACTTCTGCGTACTGTGTGCTGCAGCATGTGCTGACCCCGCTCTGTCATTTTACGTGACCTACCACTTCGTGGCCAAGTTAGTGTTGTTCCCAGTTGCTTCCATTTTGTTATAATACCACTAGAAGTGGAATATTTAGTAGCAAGGAAATTTCATGAATGGAATTATTGCACAGGTGGCAACCTATCACGGTACCATGCTTGAATTCAGTGAGCTCCTGAGAGCGACCCATTCTTTCACAAATGTTTGTAGAAGCAGTTGGCATGCCTAGGTGCTTGATTTTATACACTTGTGGCCATAGAGGTGATTGGAACACCTGAATCCAATGATTTGAAGGGGTGTCCTAATACTTTTGGAAATAATATAGTATATATATATATATATATATATATATATATATATATATATATATATATATATATATATATACACATATACACACACACTGATCCTGGAAGTGGCAGCATACCTTGAAGGAAGAGAAAGGTGCCCCCCACCTTTACCAGTCTGATCACACATCTACACACAAAACCGCAAGTGCTGCAGAGAGGAGAACACATGCAGCAGTTTCTATGGCCACTGGAGCGAACGCCATCACAGTTGTGCACACCATGGATCGGAAGTCTCCAAGCAGAATTACGTCATGACGTAATATCTAGTTTAACTGGAAGACGGCTGCTGAAGCGCACCCATTACAGGGAAGGCACTGGATGAGTGGCACTGAACGGCAAACTGCTGGCAATAGACTGGTGGCTAAAAATGCAAATAGAAAAAAAAAAAAGCATGAAAAAAAAGCCACAAAAAGAAAAAAGGAAAAGAAAAAAAAACGCAAGGATCAGGCGGGATGATATCAATCACTATATAAATATGTGCATATGCACAAATGAATACTAAATAATAGTAATGATACTTGATTAGTACATTGTTGCGTGGAGAACGGCCTGATGACACACCAGACGTAGGGAAATATATACAGTTGTTACAGGGTCTCTCATCAGCCCTGTATACAACGGGAAACCTTTATATACGATATGTACATACATAATAGTTAACCATTTCCAATTTGTAGCCAAAATTGTTTACTAAAAATGCAATAAAATTATGAATGTATAAAACATGTATGTTTACATACAAAATGATACCCAAAGAGCACAAAATAAAAATAAATAAATAAATAAAAAAAAAAACACACACAATTGAATACAAGTGAGGGACCAATAGAGCATCTAGACCAGGGTTTCTCTACCAGGGTTCCTCCAGAGGTTGCTAGGGGTTCCTTGAGCAATTTTTGCCTCTCAGGTAAGTTCCCACTGACACCGGGGGGGGGGGGGGGGGGGGGGGGGGGGGGGGGGGGGGGGGGGGGGGGGGGGGGGGGGGGGGGGGGGGGGGGGGGGGGGGACTGATCTTTTTAGCAATCTGAAAGGGGGTTATTCTTCCCAATAACCACAAGTGTAAGAAGCACGCTTACCTCTGACTATCACACTAATGTATCATGAATTGTAGATATAGTCATTTTTAGCAAGGGTTCCCTGAGATTGAAACGTTATGTAAATGGTTCCTCTGCATTGAAAAGGTTGAGAAAGGCTGATCAAGACTGATGGTCAAAAATTATCACTATCAAAAATTATCAGTGTATCAAAACATTAATATCCAACCCTTCATTGAGCCCTTTCGGTACCAATGTGTCCAGGCGGTGAATCCAAAAAGTCTCTCTGTTACACAATTTACAAAAACATCTGCCAGTGTCAATATCACTAGGAATACTTTCTAACCCATCTCATCATGCTTCTCTTGGAAAAGACTGGGAACGGAATGCACCTCATGTCCATGTTTAATATTTATTTTGTGCTCTCCAAATCTAATACGTAGTGTACGAGAAGTGCGCCCCACATAGAGAAGGCCGCAAGGACAGATGAGACAATACACTACATACTGGGAACCAGTTAATAAACGGTTTGATCTTATAAGAAATGCCATCATTTACAGTCACCTCCTTCTTCTTGTGCCACATGAAATGGCAACATTCACAATTCCCAACTCCACATCTGTAAATACTTTTTTGATCAAAGAGTGAACTTGTAGGGAGAGAGGGGGCCAAACTCGTGTGAACAGACCTTACCCTATTGGGGGCTATATAGCTCCTCAAGTCTTTGGGTTTTCTGAAAATGACCTCTGGGTTTTCTAAGATGACATTGGTAAGGTGGGGGTCCTGATGTAAAAAATCCCAATACTTTGATTATCTGTTTGATATGGAACGCTTTGGGATTAAACTGGGTGCAGAAAGCTGTACATTTGGATTGTTGCTCCCTCTTGTCAGGTTGTTGGTTATTGGCTTCCAAATGAGTACTCATGAGGTACCTTTCCCTGTACTTTCCATATGCTTGCTCAATAGCTACTTTATCATACCCTTTTTCCAAAAACTTGTTTGTGAGGACCTAGTTCACAAGGCATGTACATGTTCTCCCTAAGCGGCAAAATTGCCCCAAGGATACATTTTGGATCCATTTTGGGTGATGGTGGCTATTGGCATGCAGATAGGAATTACATGCTGTAGGCTTAAAATGTGTCTTGGATATGATGTTATAATCAGTGTCAAACATAAGTTCTAAGTCGAGAAACACTATCTTGTTATTCAATTCAATGTTAAATGGATTATTCCAACAATGTGAAAGGAACTTATCCAATTCACAATCCGTACCATCCCACGTTATAAGGATGTCATCAATGTATCTTGCGAATAGGACCAGGTTCGCCCTATATGGGTTATTACTCCAGATGTGACATTTTTTCCCAGTAACCCATAAATAGATTGGCATTACTGGGGGCAAACCTGGCCCCATAGCCATACCTTTGATTTGCCGGAAAAAAGGGTCTTGGAACACAGTTGTGAGTTGAAGAGTATTGGATACACTGGATGATAAAATTTGTCTGAGAGGGATGTAAAGTGTTATCCAAAGTCAGAAAGTGTTGGACCGCTTGCAGCCCGAATGTATGTTCTATTGAGATATATAAAGAAGCCACGTCTAATTAAACCCACCTAACCCTGGTTGCCAGCAATAATTACATAAAATATCAATCATATGACCGGAATCTCAGACATATGAGGAGAGTTATGTCACATGCTGCTGTAGAAAGTGATCAATATAATTCCCCACATTGCTGGTAAGGCGGTCAGTCCCAGATGTGTTGGGTCTTCCAGAGGGATTGATGGACTCTTTGTGAATTTTTGGAATGTGATAAGAGGGGGGTAAAGGGAATGGTCTAAACAAAAATTTCCATTCTTGTTTATTGAGCACCACCTCCCTCAAAGCTTTGTCTAACAGGACCTTTAACCACTAGCCTACAGGGCACATATACCCCCTTCCTGCCCAGGCCAATTTCCAGCTGTCACACTCTGAATGACAATTGCGCGGTCATGCAACACTGTACCCATATGAAATTTATATAATTTTTTGAGACAGAGCTTTCTTATGGTGGTATTTAATCACCTCTGGGATTTTTATTTTTTCTTAAACCAAAAACCACAGAAAATTTTGGAAAAAAAAAAAGTTTTTTCTTAGTTTTTGTTATACAATTTTGTAAATAAGTGATTTTTCTCCTTCACTGATGTGCGCTAATGAGGCTGCAGTGATGGGCACTGATAAGTGGCACTGATGAGGAGGCACTGGTAGGTTGCACTGATGGGCATTGACAGGCATCACTGATACATGACACTGATATGGCACTGATAGGTGACATTGAAAGGCAGCTCAGATGGGCACTGATATGTGGCATTGATGTGCACTGGTATGCACTGATATGTGGCACTGATGGGCACTGGCACGTGGCACTGACAGGTGGCACTTCTGGGGCCACACTGATCATCAGGGCACACGGATCATCAGTGCCCTGATGATCAGTGTACATGTCCCCTCCGCGGAAAGCCGATTACTGGCTCTCCTCTCGAGCTGTCAGCGTGACAGCTCGAGAGGAGAGAAATGCCGATAACCGGCATTTCCGTGTTTACATGTGATCAGCTGTGATTGGACACAGCTGATCACATGACCGAGCCGACATCTTCGGCTCTTTCCGTGATCCGCTGTGTCCGAGGGACACAGCGCACCGGCGATCGCCGCGATGCACGTTCCCTGAGCCGTGCATGCGCAGTGAGAATGGTAGGACGTCATATGACGTCCTATCAGAAGAAGAGAACCACCTTGCACCCATGATTGTACTATAGCGTGGGCGGAAGGTGGTTAAGATGCATTTGTATGGCCCAATTGGATCCCCTGGGAGCTTCTCATAGGTGTCACAGTCTCCCAATTATCTCATAGATTTATCCCTTTGTCAGTTTTATCTCTGAGGAAGGGGACAAATCCCTGAAAAGCGTAAGCAGGCCGACTTCACCACCAGAGGGGTACTCTGCCATCACGTTGGGCAAGCTTTTATACACATCTCATTTTGTATGTTTTTCATTTTAAATTTTCCAATAAACCTTGGATAATGCGCTAGGTGTGTGTGCTTCATTTTCCAGTTTTTGGTTGATCCCCAGTCAGAGGAGGGCTGCACCACCAAGACCTGGTTCCAAAGATAACAGCACGTTTGATTCCCTCGTCTGTTTCCTGACACCAGTGGCCTAGCACATCCTGGCATTTTAAATACCAGAGAAGAAAAAAGAAAGAAGAAAGTGTGATGTCTAGATGTGCTTTTTGGTACTAATACAACGCTGTCTTGTTTTTTATGGTGGTGGAAGGTGGTTTATTATTTAGAGTTTTTTTGTGTACAGATTTTGGTAAATGTAATAAAGATTTTTTTCTATTATTTTTGTGTATAATTAATTAACCTGTCAATTTATGCCCTGGAGGCTCACTTATATCCCCCTTTTTGTGGATTGTTCTATATCTACCTGTTTTTTCTTTATGCTGTACCTTGGCCATAAAGCCCCACTTTATTTTTACTATAGTGAGTGGGGCAGTTGACTGAGGGTACATATTTGGTATCCAGCTTATTGAGATCCCCTCTTTATTTTTTAGAAAGGGGGAGATAGCTAGCATGAGAAATAATGAATTGCTCGCAGTGAAATGGAAAGTCAAACGGGATGTTTTCGACCTGTCTTCCATTCACGCAAACACAATGGTCCAAATTAGCATGGCATCTGGCGTTGCCGAGAAGCCACGAGTGTCTACGAATATACCCTTAACATGGGAGGGGTGGACTTCAACGACCAAATGATGAAGCCGTATTTAATATCCAGCATAATCATACACTGGTACAAAAAGGTGTCTATTTCAATTGGCTATATACAGTATCTCACAGAAGTGAGGGCACCACAGTGGCTAAATGGTTAGCACTTCCGCCTGGCAGTACTAGGGTCGTTGGTTCGAATCCCAGCCACGGCACCACCTGCCTGGAGTTTGCATGTTCTCCCTGTCCCTGTGTGGGTTTCCTCCGGGTACTCCGGTTTCCTCCCATCACTCCAAAGACATGCTGGTAGGTTAATTGGATCCTGTCTAAATTGGCCCTAATATGTAAAATCTAAAAGAATGTCCCCCACAGTAGATCAAACGTCAATCACGATGGCCACCGCGAAAAAAGGAAAAAAAAAGTTCAGTTTCCGACGCTGGCTTTTAGTTTATTTCCCCAATTAAAAAAAAAAAATGTTTCCTTTCAGTTTCTTAAAAGATACAAAGTTTCCTGTAACCCCGGGGAAAGTGACAGCTAATGTTGTGAGCTATAGTGAAGAAAAAAAAAAAAAAAGACGGCAATTGCATTTAAAAATCAGCACCGACATACACTTTGTATTGCGAAAAAATGTGTAAAAAAATTTGTAAACCGAGGCATTATTTTCAATGAATTTTCATTCGTAAAATGAAAATTATGTTAACAGAGGTATTCGTAAACCGATGTATTACTGTATATCTTTTCATGTGACAACACTGAAGAAATGACACTTTGCTACAATGTAAATTAGTGAGTGTACAGCTTGTATAACAGTGTAAACTTGCTATCCCCTCAAAATAACTCAAAACACAGCCATTAATGTCTAAACCACTGGCAACAAAAGTGAGTACACACCTAAGTGAAAATTTCCAAATTGGGCCCAAAGTGTCAATATTTTGTGTGGCCACCATTATTTTCCAGCACTGCCTTAACCCTCTTGGGCATAGAGTTCACCAGAGCTTCCCAGGTTGCCACTGGAGTCCTCTTCCACTCCTCCATGATGATATTACAGAACTGGTGGATGTTAGAGACCTTGCGTTCCTCCACTTTCTGTTTGAGCATGCCTCACAGATGCTCAATAGGGTTTAGGTCTGGAGACATGCTTAGCCAGCCCATCACCTTTACCCTCATCTTCTTTAGCAAGGCAGTGGTCGTCTGAGAGGTGTGTTTGGTGTCGTTATGTTGGAATACTATTCTGCGGCCCAGTCTCTGAATGGAGGGGATCATTCCCTGCTTCAGTATGTCACAGTACATGTTGGCATTCATGGTTCCCCCAATGAACTGTAGCTCCTTAGTGCCGGCAGCACTCATGCAGCCCCAGACCATGACACTCCCACCACCATGCTTGACTGTAGGCAAGACACACTTGTCTTTGTACTCCTCACCTGGTTGTCGCCACACACGCTTGACACCATCTGAACCAAATACGTTTATCTTGGTCTCATCAGACCACAGGACATGGTTCCAGTAATCCATGTCCTTAGTCTGCTTGTCTTCAGCAAACTGTTTACGGGCTCTTGTGCATCATCTTTAGAAAAGGCTTCCTTTTGGGACGACAGCCATGCAGACCAATTTGATGCAGTGTGTGGCATATGGTCTAAGCACCGCCAGGCTGAGCCCCCACCCCTTCAACCTCTGCAGCAATGCTGGCAGCACTCATATGTCTATTTCCCAAAGACAACCTCTGGATATGATGTGGAGCAGGTGCACTCAACTTCTTTGGTCGACCATGGCGAGCCCTGTCATGAGTGGAACCTGTCCTGTTAAACCGCTGTATCTTCTTGGCCACCGTACTGCAGCTCAGTTTCAGGGTCTTGGCAATCTTCTTATAGCCTAGGCCAGGGGTGGGCAACTGTGCTCCTCCAGCCGTTGTAGAACTACAAGTCCCATGCGGCATTGCAAAACTGACAGTTACAAGCATGACTCACAAAGACAGAGGCATGATGGGACTTCTTGTAGTTCACCAACAGCTGGAGGGCCACAGTTGCCCAACCCTGGCCTAGGCCCTCTTTATGAAGGAGCAACAATTCTTTTTTTCAGATCCTCAGAGAAATCTTTGCCATGAAGTGCAATGTTGAACTTCCAGTGACCAGTGTGAGAGCGATAACACCAAATTTAAACACACCTGCTCCCCATTCACACCTAAGACCTTGTAACACTAATGAGTCACATGACACAGGGGAGCAAAAATGGCTATTGGACCCAATTTGTACATTTTCACTTAGGGGTGTACTCACTTTTGTTGCCAGCGGTTTAGACATTAATGGCTGTGTGTTCAGTTATTTTGAGGGGTAAGCAAATGTATACTGTTAAACAAGCTGTACACTCACTACATTGTAGTAAAGTGTAATTTCTCCAGTGTTGTCACATGAAAAGATATAATAAAATATTTACAAAAATGTGAGGGGTGTACTCACTTCTGTGAGATACTGTATAACACTTTTATCATTTACAAAGCAACAGGATGATGTGGATCCTTCCTAAAATTTCAGGAAGATATCATTAAGGCCATTTTGTATTCAGAAGGTAAATGGTCCAAATCTCAATTCCAAATGCAGTGAGCCAGCAGCATGAGAGGCATTTTCCTGATGTCCTCTTTGGTAACCCAACCCAAAGGTCACACCAAATAAGAGGCCGTGTCTGTAGCAGACATGGAATAAGACGAGACACCTACTTTTTCTGTCACTCCTGTTTTGGCCAACCTGGCCTCTGCATCAAGGACTGCTTCTGTCACTACCACACTAGTTAAGTATTAGCATGGAGTACAGCATGACACAGTCTAGGACACATAATTCTCACACACAGGTCTTGACAGATGTGAGACGGTCAAGAAATGTAAAAAAAAAAAAAAAAAAAAGTAAAAAAAAACCCAAAAGTTTTATTGAGTTAATGTTCTATGGTTACTGTGTTTTTTTGTTAACAACAGGGTGTTGCTCTCAGAATATATATGTCAGTACATGCAGTTCTGCTGAATGAGATTTCTCAAAAACAAAAAACAAAACAAAAAAAAAACAAAAAATACACACAACTTATATGCCCAAGCATTACGGCCTAGGGTGGTCAGTAGGAAGATTGGTCCTATGCGTAAGCATATATATTTTTCATATATATATTGTAATATATATATAGTTGTTTTATAAAGTTAATGTTCTATTGTTACTGTATTTTACTGTTAGCTGTTTGCTTTGCAGGAATGCCATTCAGCTGCAGTACTGATCTGTTTGACAGCAGCAGGGTGTGCTTTCAGAATACATAATGCAGGCCATAGACGTGGGGAAAAATCGGCCGTTTTTGTTTTCTTTAAATCGTAAATTGGTCGTTCAGACGGCCGACGTTGCCACTAATTAAAAAAAAAAGTCGTCGGGTTTTAGTCCTGTCTACGGCCGTTAATTAATATAATAGCGGTGTCTCTGCATAGAGACCTGCTATTATATTTGACAGAAAAAATAGATTATGCAGAAGAAGAAGAGAAACAACATTGTATCTATTTGTACTTGAATAGAAACATCTGTATCCGAAATGCATACAAATAGATACAATGTTGCAATGTTTTTTCTTCTCCGTCTTCTTCTGTGAAATCTATTTCATCGTCTCCTCTTTTCTTCTTCTTGATAGTCTATTTCTTCTTCTCCTGCAAAATCTATTTCTTGTATTACTTCTTTTTCTTCATAGTCAATTTATTGTTAAATCAGCCAGCCAGAAGAACGTCCGATTTGAGCATAAATTACCGCGAAAATCGGCCGATCTAACAAATAGTCCCAGGATTTTCCAGCTTGGCCGATTTTCAAAATCTCTTAAAATTAAGAAAAACAGCTGACATTTTTCCCCACTAACGATACGAATAGCGGCCAAGATAATTCGGCATAATGCAGGTCATAGATTTCCGATTTTCTTACCGAATTATTGGCCGA